GGTGACAAGAATAAGATTCTCACTATGTTAATCTACTCTCAATTCTGTGTAAAATGTATGATTTTCATGATCGCAAATCATCGGGTTTCGATTATACAAGGGGTGAAAGAAATTAATATTGATTTTATCAAAATTCATTTTCTCGAAATATTTGCAGGTGACAAAAATGAGATTCTAACCATGTTAATATACTCTAAATCTGAAAATCTGTGAAGAAAATTGATAATGATTTTTACAAAATTAATTTGCTCGAAATCTCTGCAGGTGACAAGAATGAGATTATCACTATGTTAATCTACTCTGAATTCTGTGTAAAATGTATGATTTTCATGAACGCACATCATCGGGTTCCGATTATACAAGGGGGAAATAAATTGATATTTATTTCTTCAAAATTCATTTTTTCGAAATATGTGGGGATGACAAGAATGAGATTCTCACCATGTTAATTCACTCTAAATTCTGTGTGAAATGTATGATTTCCATGGACGTACATCATCCGGTTCTGATTATACAAGGGGTGAAAGCAATTTATATTGATTTTTTCAGAATTCATTTTCTCAAAATATAAGGGAGTGACAAGAATGATATTCTCACCATGTTAATCTACTCATTCAATTTTAATGATCATAGCCATCTGATCTGGTATATGAATTGGTCCACTGCATAGTAGTATACATATGGTAGCGGGATCACAGCTTGAAGGTCGTAGCAGTATACAGATAAGTCACTATTTTGTTTTGCATCTTCCACATCTTTAGATTTTTCTCTTTTTGCTGTTCCTTTCTCCTTGCAATGACTTCTGTATTTTTCTTCAAGAACGGTTTTGTTACTTGATAGTTTGTACTCCTCACACAATGAGCAGATATCTTTTTTTGGTCTTAAAAAGCCAATATTGAACTCCGTATTGAAAATATGCGAAAACATTGACAACTTTGCTTGAAGATCATCCCTCATTTCACATTCCTTTCTATATTGTCTGTACATCGTTGAAATCGTCAAACCACCATCGATGAATCCACGATGATTATCAGCTCTACAATAATGCGACTCAATTCTCGCAAAGGAGTTTATATGATCAATTACTCCTTGTTCTAGGCTCGGGTCTAAATGTTGGAACTCATATTTCCTGGTCAAACTGTGAACTGTGGGAAAAGTGCACCAAAATATTCTCAACATTTTTAATTCAGACATTAAAAATTAGGTATACAGCATCTCCAAATGTGATTCTAATAAAATTTGGACCAGTATGAATAATCATCAATATGATCATTTCTTCAGAAACAATTATAATTTTGGACAATGTCCTGGGTTTTTATTATAATGAAAATGGGTCAGTTTTTCATGAACTCATATAAGGAATTTTCTCCTCATAATATTCTTCATGGTTTCAAATCCCTATACGCAAATTTCCTTGTGATATCTAAGGAGGGTTTTCAAAAAAACAGGCACAAAACAGCATGTTTTCGAAGGTGAATAATTATTTACTGGGAAACGGTGAGTTTAACAAAAAAAAGTACAACTTGTTTCTTTTTCCAAACCACAATTTTTTACCTACCATAACTAGTGAATGTTCCAAAAATTCGCAGTCAATTTGAATTCACCATTTTTTCATGGCAGAAAATGAAAGAAAATTAGGACAATCCTGTTAATTCAGGATAAGGAGATTCTTCGCATGTGGAGATTCCAAAGCATGAGGAACAATAATATGAAGTCTGTTTTTCTGATGAAAAAATCCTGATATGATTTCCTAGAGAATCTACCCAATTATTTTTTTAAATAAAAACGCACTACACTGCCAAAAATTATGCTCATCTCTGAAGAACTGATCATATTGATAGTTATTCATGCTGGTCCAAAATTGGTATGAGTCGCCGAGACTTATGGCTTAGATAAAAAGGGAGGGAGGCGTTTAGCGAGACAAGCTGTATGTAAAAAAATATTTTCAAAAAACCTTTAGCTCGCGTTCGAATGGTTATAACACCCTGCATTTTCGGAATTCTTCAAGTGTTTATGTCGGTCTATGTACTACTAGGGTTTTTAGTAATATTTGTCTTTGAGTAAAGTATCGATGTAATCTTGTCATCAGATCTCGAACTATTTTAATTTTTCCTTCTTTTTGTTCCTTTGAGCAACATATGCTCACTCGACATAAAACGTATGTTTTGATTATATTCCTCGTGAAAATATTTTCATGCATTTGACAGCCTAATGATTTTGTTGGAGAAAAATTCGATAATTTATGGAGGATTGTTGATAATACATCTCTAGTGAGTTCGTTTTCAAATACACTAGAAATAGCTTTTCAACTTCCTTAAGAACGCTGATAATGATTTCTTCTGATGGAAATGTTGAAATCCTCTACTCTTGTTTTTGATCTAGATATTGAATATATCATTTCCCTGCCCAGCTATACTCTGTTTGCAGAGTATAGAATCTGTGATGCTTCCAATTTTTTTGTGAGACAGCCACAAAAATATGTGAAGGCCTCCCCAACTTCCACGAACTCTTCTTCCATTTCTGAAATCCCTTCATTCAATTGTTAATCAAATACTTTTTTTTAGTGGTTTCAGGTCTCCAACTTTAAGCAGTGATTTTATTATTTCACTACCAGTGAAATTACTTCCACGAGGTGGTTTGATTAGTGAATGAAGAGACATCAGTCTGAATATACAGTATGATGCAAATGTATGGAATAAATTCATTATTTCAGAAATGGGCGACATCTGAAGAAATTCCAAAAACACGTGGGTTTTAATTTTTGAAGCCTCATCTCATGACATTCATATAAGAGATGTTACGTCACTGGTGTAGAAGTAATGACGTAATGGACGATTTTTTCAAATACAAGCAGGGGTCATGTGACACCTCGTTTGAAAGGTCTACTGATCGTCTATCCAACAGTCAAAATTTTGCATAAGAATATTGCAATTAAAATGGATTATCATTTGGTTAACTGAATCTTGCAGAGGTCTTCTACTGAGAATTGAACATCGAAGGGTCGTCTAGTTGAAAAAATACACAATAAAAAAAGTTCTGAACTCTAGTTTTTGGATTTTTTTCGGAAGTCGTGTTGTTTTGAAATTAATTTATTCCATACATTTGCATCATACTGTATATCCAACTTGAACAGATTCTGGATGAGAATTACTACCACCTGCTGTTCTCATCATACCAAAGAAATGCTGAGAATGGAATTTTATAATTATTATTGGTATCTGTGAAGTATAGACATTTACAATTACTTCCAATTGGTCTTGGTTAATCCTGGTGGTCATGAAATAATGAAAACCCAATGTAGAAAGATATTCTGTCAAGTAAAGGGTGCAAGATATTGTTGCTCAGACCATCAAAAGTCGATTTTGATAAAAATTGCTCAGGTGAACTACACTGCTCCCACAAATCCAAATAGTTCAAAAATTCCTCCAATTCCTAGAAATATTCCAGTGGTCTCTCATAGCATTGTAAGTTTTACAAAAATTCCAATTGAATATTCATATGTATTTTCTACATCAGATATCCCACTGATATTGGTCACAGACTGTATTTTCATCATCCTATAATTTAATTAACGCCCAAATTATTTTTTTCTCGAAATTCATTCTGGAAATGAAATATATTGTTATTTTGGCCATCCTGAAGATGATTTGACCAATATGAAAATTGTGTTTTACATTTTCCAAAAACAGGTGTCCTATAAATAGGACGCTTGGAGGATCTGTGTTCTTGTTCGTACTGTATACGTATTGTTTGTAAAACAAAAATTACTAATTATTTTTTATGGTATTTAGGAAAACAGTTAGTGCATGATGTAATATTACACTTTCCGCAAAATGTAATCGGTTGACCGGTACAATTGGGATATTGGCAACGACGTTGCTTTTCCCGTTTTTCGAGAAAATGGCCTCTTTCATCGTACCTGACATATTCGGAAACTTTTGGTCTGGAGGTTGAAGTAAAACTAAGAGGTCTACCTTTTGGGATTCTCTTGCTGTGCCCAATTTTCAGATATTCTACAGCAATAGATCTTCTGAAATCTTTTATGGAGATTGATCTTTCTCCGTGAATATTTCTGTACAAAATAAATGAATTCACGACAGCCATTTGAATAATACGGGTCACCAAACACCAATACCACTTTTTTCGCCTCACAGAAATGGTATGTTTTTCTAGTAACCAATCATGTTGATCTACACCGCCTATGTATCAGTTATAATTGTAGATCAGCTTTGGCTGTGGTATAGCATCGCGCTTTTATTTTTCTTTGCTCCATCAGACAGCAGACGCCAATGGTTCGATTGTATCAAAATTAGTTGCTAATGATACAAATTTATTGTCGTTCCACTTCACAACTAATATTTTGTTCAGTTTATCAAACTGAAAACAATATGCCCCACGTCCATTTTTCTCGAGTTCTTTAGTAGTCTTCAGTTGACACTTTTTTGTGCGGGTTTTCTCTAATGAAACCAGTCCTTCAGTGTGCTCAAGAATGTGTGACTATTGGGAAAGTTGTCAAAATAAACAACGATTTTATTTCTAGATGTGCATTGCGACTCATAGCATGACGAACCAAATGTATTCCCAAATCTTCAGCATCAGACCAATAGTCTCTTTCACTCGGTAATCTGTGGTAACCAGAAAATATCAAAAACCCCAGAAAAATTTTGATTTCATAGACTTATACTAAATGTATGCCTATTACTTTCATTTCTTGCACACCTTATGGTTTCTTCCACAATCATATTATGAACATTTTCATCGAAATATTGTTCAAATATCTTCACAGGCGTTTGCTTTCCCAAATTGGCCTTCAGTTCTGCAAGCATTTAATTTGGTTTGTCTTGCATCGGATCCCATTGATATTCCGGAGGACAGTTTTTCCAGTCTGTTGGTACAATCGACCGCCTCAGTGTCTTCTTTTATCTTTTCGGAGGTAAAAGACCACTTGAAGAAGATGAAGCGCCATCCTCAGCAGAAGATGAAGCTCTAATTCTAGCAACCAATGATGCTAATGGCAACTCGTCTTCGTCGTCACAGTCAAGCTGTGAATCGCTATCCTCATCGATGTCACCTTCACCATTCCTATAGTTCATCTTCACATTTCCAGGTATATCTTTGACAATTGGCATTCCGAGCTCTTCATCATCGAAGTCTTCCTCATCCGTCAATTCATCGACATCGGGCGGTAGGGCTAATATGTCCACGTCTATATCCTCTGAATATAAATATTCACCGCTTCTTCCAATGATTTGAATGAATTTTCACTCATAATGACCACCTCAAGATTGAATCTGAAACCAAAATTCGCCTATGAACTGATAATAATACAGTACCGAAATATTGACAATAACGCCCAGCGTCATATTTATATGACACCAAGATTCATCACTATGTAAACATATTATGAAACATATCTGAAATATAATATATTTTTTTAAGTGATAAACTTGATCTTACGATTTGCCAAAATAAATGAATTCTTTACTTACATGGATTGATTTTCACATAAACACAGAAATGAAGTCACCGTGTACAGCAATGTAAAAGTTACTTGGTTTTTAGGCATCGGCAGTCAAACTAAAGCGACTGATTCCTCGGAAACTGATGCTGAGTCAGAGCCTTCTATTCCCTGTTTGAATACGGGAAGCAGTAAACATCAGTCAGTGACCTTGAAGAGACCGTTAAAAAGCCACGAACACATTGTCTTATAAATAGGACGCTGGGCGCTAATGGGTTAATAAAATTGTACCTATTATTTCAGGATTTGTCATTCAGAGTGATATGAATAGTTGTATGTAATCTTAGTAGGACATCCCAATGTAAGATAATTTGAGTGAATCAAAAGTCACCATTGACTACTCATCATGATTATAGGTAGTCAAATAATGCATACATTTTGTTCACATCATGATGCTTTCATTCGTGAGATAGGCTCTCAGATTTGTTGCAAAGTACTTTGTTACCTGACCTCCTTACTGAAGGAACAATAAACACTCACATTGTAGTTTTCTGATTGATATCTCAAACTTATCAATGGTGAAGATGAATTCATGATATCTATCAATGTATTGATCCCTTTGCAGAATGCAATTGAAGCACCTGCATTGGAAAACAATGAAATTTTATCTCTGAGGGTTTCCAGTGCCAAAGCCGTTGTATTACTAAATACCTGAGAATTTCAAAATACCTGGAATGTCAGTCTTGTGCACATTTTCCCCCCACATGTGGGATTAATGTGACTGGGAGTTAATTTATAGGATATTCGGAATTCTTCATATGATTCAAGTTTTGGTAGCTGTTCAAAATACGAATATTGAACAACTCCCTCAGGAACCTGAAATAATTAAGATATACTATGACCAGAATTTTTTGCAGGATGTTGAACACCAAGATGTTTCCACATCGTACGATTCCATGTCGCCTCATCACTTGTAACAACATCAATTCGTAGTCCTGAGTTCTCACATAGAATAAAACATTTTCAGAATCATTTTTGCCTGGTTGTCTCCTTTGATATTTCCTTTTGTAAGAAAACAACCTAGAGCCTGCAGCCTATGGCCTGCAAAAGGCTGAAACGTGACCACTAGAGCATGGTCCCCCAATGTATTCTCCTGGTTTTCAGGGGTGAAATTGTAAAACCAATAAAGTCCAAACTATACTTGTCAAATTTTTTAGTGGCAGTTATTTTACACTCATCAATGAGTAAACAGCCATGTCTCTGCCATTCCTCGTAATGTTGTGTTTTTTGTTTGATGAGCTCAAACAGTTCATCCTTGAAGCCAAAAGTGCTGTCTATACTTCTGATGTACCTACATTGAAAATTCATAGGGATCAAGTTTTAGCTTGAACAAAATGTGTACTCATTTAATCAATAAATGATAATTCCAGAGTATTCTGCTGATGAAAAAAGAAACTATATGATATTTATAATAACTCGGAATATGTTAGATTATTAGATATCAGTTCGACGGATGCAACGAAAACTGTAGTAGCTCATTATTTATACTTTTGAGTGAGAGCAGTTTAAATGGTTAAATGGATGACAAAATTTCAATTTCAAAGCAACGTATGTCATTTATTCAGTAAAAATATGATAATTAGAGGAAGAATTAACTGCCAAAAAAGTTTTTGAGGTGAAATAGCCAAATAGTATTCTCAGTGAGTTACTACAGTTTACTTTGAAAAATTGGAAAAATTAAATGAGATAAGTACTTAAAAATTGTTGGTATATAGTATTACATCAGTGTACATTGTAAATCGTACACACAAATCAATCCACAAGTTTTAAACTATTTTCTAAGGTTAAGAGAATGAAAAACGCATTCAGGTACCTGGTAAGAAATAGCAAGACACAAAACACACTAGTTTTGAACCTCTTTAATTATCGTTGAACTCTTCATCTTCTGATTCTCCACCTTCACTGGCTTTTTTGCATTTCAGGCTCCTATAAAATTGGTGATACGTTGTTGAAATTTTGTTTTTATCACAGAGCCACAATAGAGTCTTCTACAGGAAGTTCAGCGTTGTGAAGTCTCTTAAAATTGCTTGGTTAAATATTGCTATTATCATCCTTTGGTGGTCTTCTTTTTTTTCTCTGACTCCAAAAAACGTATTTTCAAAATTCCGCTATCAGCTGAATCGTATTCATATTTAAAAAATATCTTGCTTATTTTCAGGGCCTTCATCTTCTCGTCTCGTCGACGTTCCAGCTTTAAATATCTGTGATGTCCTTGAAATTAAATCGGTTACATTATAGATTTGTCCTGTGACTTTTGCCATTCTGATTAATGTTATCCATTTCTCAGGTAAATAGAGAACTGACTGGCGCTTCTTGGCATTTTCTATAACAGCATGCATACTATCGCCCTCATTTTAGGTGTGTTCTTTTTCAAGGAACCTATGGGTAATGTCAATCTGATAAGTAGTAGATGCCAATGAAAACATAGAAAACAGAGACTTATTTCGGTTCTAGCCTCCACAATTTTCTGAATGAACAATTATAGATTTTACACCTCTTTCCTCTCGTGTTTGAATGAACTTCGATAAACAGCTTGCAATCTCACATGAACCTCTTTTTGATATTTTTTGGTGTCAGACAATTCAGACATAACAAAAACCTTGATTATTTCCTACATCAAAATTGTAAGTTGAATATTTACTTTCGTAGTAGAAGTCACTGACATTGGAGTGGGGAGTAGCTGATACTGTTTGTAAGTCAAAACATGCCACACCAGTGGCGCATCCAGAATTTATGTTGGAGGGGGCTGACTAAATTTTTATGAAAATAGGAAAAAAAAATTAGACATTTCATTTTAATCAGCAAAAAGGTATTTGTTGTTATATGTTGTATATGTTTTTAAATATTTAATATTCGAAAATGACCTTTCAGATGTGGCGGTTGTAATAGGTAGAATTGAGAACATTTTTGAAAGCCTTTTTATATTAGGAAATATATTGGCATCACATTCGGGATACTCTTTGTCCGAATCTTCCTTCAGTTTCCTGTTCTTGCATTCTCTATACCACAGCTCAAGTTCAGCTTTCAACATCGTTTTGTTGAAAAATTCTTCAAGGAACTCATTCTCAGCACATCCTTCCGTTGTCAACCTCGAAAGATGTCGAACAGCACTTTATCAAAACTCCTTCATCCATAGAACGGCTAGGCTCTGGAATTCATTGCCTGAGGAAGTATTCCCAACAACATATAGAAGTTCCAGAAGTTCAAAAAAAATCCAATACCTACCTCCTATCCCTATTCTCCCTAGGAACGCACGATGTTCTTTGAACATTATAGGGATTTCCTTTCGTGCGTTACAAGCGATGAAAAAAAATTGACTAACAAAACATTCTGCAATGAAAAAATTATATTTTGATATAAAATTATTTTCTACTTATATATATGATTGAAATGAACTGAACTTATTGTTTTGTATAGAATGTTATATAGAAATAAGAAAAACTGAACGATTTTGTAAAATAATTGTTTATTCAATAAAGGCATAAAGGCAGAAATCTCCATTTCTAAAATAAAGGCTTGGCTAGACTGTAGTCTGCTTTCACTAAATGTTAACAAAAACAAGTTTATCAATTTTGCCCTAACCAAGAAGGCCTTACCAGAATGCAAAACCATAAAGGTTCATAAATCAGATTGTACTAGGAGTGCAATGAATAATAAATTAGGCTTAAGTTGAGGGTTAAAAAGCAAATTCATGACTGGATAACTGAGAGCCAATATATCTACCTACTGTAAATTTTAACTTGAATGAGTTACACCGTTTATACATTGTTTGCACAAGTCTTATTTGATATTATCAATATAAAGGACATTATGGTGTACAACAAGAAATTGAGTACATGGTTTCAATAAATAAGGTAAAAATCCAGCACACATATTTCAAAATCCATTGTGCTGATACAATTTAGTATAGTTAAGTAATAGAATAAACTATCATAATGAATGAATGTGAAAATGTTGACTATGTACCTGAGATACTAAATAAATACAAAATACTAAATACTACTAAATACTAAAAAAAATAACATATTTTCAAATTATTTTCCTACCAATGTTTGAGAATGGCCAACTTACTATTAGGGGTGTTTGGTTTACAATTATTACCCAAATCTCTGTTGATAAATTTCAGGGTGTAAAAAATTCGAACTCTAACGAATAATGAAATTAGATATTCAATTGGGAAATTTTCGCAAGGTTTGATGAAAGCAATTTCAGAAAGTAAGGCTCGAATGGTGTTGCCAACATTTTTACTAACAGCCTTTTCATGAAACAAGTTACAAAACATGGTTTCCATTTCATTGAGAAAAACAATGAAACCATGTTCTGGCATTTGTAAATTACCAAATGTATCATTCTCACGATTTTGATAAGCTCTAAAATGAGCATACACTGTTGCATCAGTCAATTCTTTCTGCCCTTTGGCATAGTCTTTGCATAAATCACAAGAATGTTTCTCTAAACATTTTTTCATGAAATATCCACCTATATATTGGAAAGCATTTTTCTCTGTTATACCCAAATCCTTGTAATCAGTTGTGTATATTTTGAGTGGACTAACTACATTTGATTTTGGCAACAACATTGAGCTACTTTCTATGAGTTCTGGTGTTATTGACCCTAAAATGAAATCAAATTCTTCCAAACAATTTGCCCCTTCAGAGCTATCAAAATGATTCAATGAGAACATCTTTTCAAAAGTT